AATTTCAGAACACTGAAGAAGTGCTGGCCCAAATTAATATAACTAACTCCTCATTATCCATTCCAAAGATAAAAGAACACTTAGAAAAGTTTAGAGACTTAATTTCATCTACAACTCCAAACTTTCTCTCATAAATATTTTCCCACAGTCATCAACAAGATTTATCTGCATTTCTTGTTATTTATCCTATACAATAAAAGCCTACTATGCTAAGTGCCCAGTTGACTGGTTGACCATTCAACCAATCAAAGCATAATATTCTAATGATATGCTAAGGCTGCTCAACCATTCGCTATGACGGGCACTGACTACCAGGGGACACGAGCTCCAACCAGTAGGTTAGCTTGCTCCTGGAGTCTGGCCAATTAGGGTTGAGCGAGACAGGCCGAACACGCTCTGGAGTCTTCCCGCGGTCCCTCCCCAGCTGTCCACCTCCCACGTCCCTCCCTGGGCCCAATTGTGTACTGGTGGGGTCCCTCGGCCTGTCCTGTTTGTTCTTGCAATCCAGGACCCCTCGGGGAATGTCGAGAGCCGGTTTCAGCCAGATCCTGCAGTCCACTGCCCTTGGGAAGGTACCAGACATAGGAATCATAGCTGGCAAGCGCTGCTGTGGCAGCAGGAGCCTCTCCCAATAGGGACTGATTGGGTGTGAGCCTGTGGCAGGCACAGAGGGGAGAGGATGAGCGGGAGTGGCAGGTAGGAGCTGCAGGCAGCGTTGGACTGTGGGTTTCAGCCCAATCCCTGCAGGACACCCAGAGGGACCCCACCGTGCACCAATTCGTGCACTAGGCCTCTCGTGGGATTATAAGTGAGGATTCCCCTGAACAGAGGGAGGCTCTGTCTGTGCTTAGAAAGGCACATTAGTGTCTCTGGGGTTTGTTGCCCTGTCTTCAAGGTGCTCTGCCATCTCCCACCCTCTCCCCGCTGCCCGCTGCTTGGCAGCTCTGCCCACTCGAGCATGATTTATTACTTCTCTCTCTTTTCCAGACAACGCACACTGGTCAACAAGCTCTCAGGCACTGTGAGCAGCTTCCTGAGCGACACTGTGTCCTCCCTGGTGCAGAGACAGGTGAGTTCTCCACTCCTGGGGGCCCAGAGCCAGGCCTGGTGGGGGCAGTGCACATTTACAGGCCTGGATGTGCTCTCTGGGCCCCCCTCCTTCTGAGGGGCAAGCTTCTCCTTGGGCTGCCAGCTGGAACTGGCCCCTCTTTACTCGGCCTGGGGTGGCGGAGGGGGAGCAGAGGCTGACATCAGCTGAAATCCCTGGGTCCCAAACTTAACTACTTGTCATATCCATGTATGAGTAATGTGTTTGTAGCTATTGTGTTCCTTTAATCGACACAACTTTACTTACTTAAATTTACTTAAACACACTCATCTTTAAAAGAAAACTTCATATCCCTGCCATTCATAGAAATTAATATCATTTATAATTAATTAAAAAATAAACACAGACCTATAATAAAATGGGTATTTTATTTGCACATCATTCAAAACCATATGTACCACGTGCAGGATTCCTGTGCATCATACAAAACTGTATCTAGCACGTGCCCAACATTCCAGGACTCTGAATTAGCCATCCTAGAAAGGCCCTAGGAATCTTGGTCGACGAAGAGCAAATCCCGGGGCTGGAGCCTCGCCACTCACTGCGCGGTCCTCCAGCTGCAGCACAGACCTCGCTAGAAAGGCAGACTCTCAGGCCCCACCCCAGGCCTGCAGAATTGGAATTTTCATTTATACAGATCCCCGGGGAACACACACAAAATCATGAGAGACACGGCTGTAGGGTCCCAAGGGTCCCATTGAACTCTAAAATTCCAGGGTTCCAAACTTCAAGGTTTCTAAGAATGGAGGGTCTGGGGTGTGAACACTCTAGATTTTTAAGTCTCTGGGATTGAAGGTGGCTGGTGGTGGGATCTAGCATCCGAAGGTGCTCTGATGTTGGACTTCTCGCTTTCCGGTGTCCTAGAATCCCAAGGTTCTAAGATCCCATCTGACCACCCTCTCTGCAGGTGGCCGGCAGTTTGTGCCCAGCTGATAATGAATCCATCCTTTTTTCTCA